GCTGTGCAACAGGGCAGCTGCCGGGCCTTAGGGGACTCTGAGTCGTCTGAACCCTGTCCCTGTCCAGCTCTCAGGACCTGTCCTAATGGGGCCCTGACTCATGGGGACTGTCAAGGCTCTTGGAATTTGGACTCTCACGATCTGCCCAGCCCTGATGTTTGCCTTTGTACCAGGGCACAACAGACAAATGTGTTCACGGTCTCTTTCTTCCACTGTCTGCTTTCAGTAGAAGCTACCAATCAAGAAGTGAGGAATTTTGATGTTATGCTGCCTTGTCCTGGAGTTGTATGATTATGAGACTGAGTTGCCTTTTTATTTCTTAATAAGGACTAGAAAAGCCATGGGGCCTGCTTGGCACGGGATCAGGGAAGATGGGTTCATGGAGCAGGTGGAGGTTTACAAGGTGTTTCTCTTTGCACTAAGTGGGTCACATGGCCTAGATGCCTGCCTTTTAGCAGAGATGAGGTGAAGAAATGAGCTGGTGGGGTTACAGGGGCACTTGCACAGGCGCCTCTGAGAGAGTGGCTGTGGACAGACATAGGAGGAATAAGCATGCAGCATAATGTAGCTTAGGGATATTTGCTTATCACCTAATTGCTTATTTATATGCATTTATACTCAGGATAATAGTTGCTTCTGGGGAAAGGGGTGCGTAATGGGTGGATTGCAGGAGGCTTCAAACACAATGATTTATTTAAAAGGGGGAGTAGAGACAATATGGAAAAATATTAGATAATGAGAACCTGGGTGTTTATTATTCTTTATAATGTTGTTAAATTTGAAATTTGAATATTTTATTAAAAAGGCCAAAAAGATTTTCTTTAATTGTGTGTCTCTGGCTCTGTCCTGGATAAGTGCAGCACCCGTACCCCAGCTCTCCATGGGGCTGCTTGTGAGATGCTCACGTGCTGCCACTCCACTGCCAATGAGAGAAGTCACGCTACTGGAAAAGACACGTTGTGTTTGTCTGGGACTAGCATGTTGCTGTGGTTCCTCATGACGGGGCACAGTGTGCAGCCCCATGCAGGCCATGTGTCTGTCTGCACATGAAGGCACACTGACCACGAGATGATCACTCTCCTAGGGCACAGTCACTAGTACTGCAACCTGTGTCCAGCTGCACAAAAGGGCTGAAAGGGTGGCTGCGGCTCTGACAGAGAAGGGAAGACTGAGTGTTGGGGACCATGTGGCTCTGGTTTATCCCCCAGGTAAGTGCACCAGCCACTGGAGATGTTCCCCCTCCAACCCCCTACGACACTGGCCCCTCCCTCAGCTGAGATTCCTGCTGGAACCCACCCCTACCCTGCACAGAGGTCAATGGCAGCCTCTGTAGCTGGCTCCTGATTCCTGCACCTGTGGCCTCTAGAGTCTGATGGCTTCCTTGCTAGGTGTGGCACATGCTCCAGGCTCCCCATACCTGGAATCAGCCATTTCTCCATGAGCCCCGGGTCTGATATTTCCAGAAATATCAAAATCTGGGCACTTGGGAAACTCATCGCTAGCGGGCTGGTGGTGGTTCTTTGGCATTTTCAGTGAGCAGAGCTAGGAATTATAAATCAATATAATTCATCTCTCTTAGACATGCAGTAGCTCATGAGTCATAGTGTTACATACTATTACATTCAGATTCAGGATGTAGGATTCTTTTTTTTTTGACTGGTAAGGGGATCGCAACCCTCGGCTTGGTGTGGCCTGCACCACGCTCAGCCAGTGAGCACACTGGCCATCCGTATATAGGATCCGAACCTGCGGCCTCGGCACTAACAGCACCACAGTCACCCAAGTGAGCCATGGGGCCGGCCCAGTATGTAGGATTCTTACTACACCTCTCCTACAATGTATCTGTATCTCCTTTTTCCACACTGAGAATCCTGGTTCTTTAGGACAGAGGAAGTGAAGGATGGGAACATTCATGACCACTCATCTGCCTCATCCCACGCCCACGCGCATCTCAACAGCAGGGGCCTGCTGCGACACCCGTGTGAGCTTGAAAACCCGCTTAGGATTTTTGCACCTGCTCACTCCATCCCCTCTTTCTCTGATAGCTGTGTTCTATCTGTATTACCAGAGGGATGGCATTACATACTCCACCCTCTCCTTTTCTATCCTCATTTGGTTTTAGTTCCACAAGTAACTATGTATCTAATGCTCACCATCACTTCATATGTCCATGTCCCTCTCCTCATGCTGGTGTTTTGAAGCTCATTCTCAAATTGGTGCCTCAGGAAGAATCCTGGAAACTATTCCCTGAGTTCCTGCTTGTTGACAATAGTTTGTGTACCTTATAATTGAAAGCTTGATGAAAAATCCTTGATTTGCATTTTTTTTCCTTGGGCATCTTGAATATGTCACTCCATTTCTCCTGGCATGAAGGAAGCATTACCATCAACAAGTCTGGTGATAATCTAATTTTCCTTTTGTGCTCCGGTTGCTTTTCTGCCTAGATGCCGAAAGGATTTTTTCCTTTTCCTTTAAAGCTCAGTGTGTTACAGTCCTGATGTTAGTTGTTATGGGTCAGCAATCTCATGCACAGGTATCTTTAAACATGTAGCTTTGAATCTTTTTTTTTTAATTTCAAGAAAATTTTCGTGACTCATAGTTTTTCTATGCATTCTCTTCCCTTGCGTTTTCTCTGAGCACGTCCCTCCTGCCTTCCGTGGGTTAGGTCCTCCATGTCTGTCTGCGTGGTTGTCGTGTACTCTTGTCCTCCTGCCCGCGGAGGAGCTAGGCCTGGGCTCGCAGGAGCCCGCGTCTGGAGGCTGCGCGGGCGCCGAGCTGGAGCCCATGCGCTCCCGGGTCCTGTCCACGCCGGCAGCGGTGGGTTTGGAGGCGGTAGAGGCTCTGTCATAGGGAAACTGCATCGGCGCTCTCTCGTCCCTGCGCACAACCACGTGTCTCCGCGTATCCCTGCAGGGGTGGACCTCATCGCCGCCTTCTACGGCTGCCTGTACTGCGGCTGCGTGCCCGTCACCGTGCGGCCTCCGCACCCGCAGAACCTCGGCACCACGCTGCCCACCGTCAAGATGATCGTGGAGGTGCTCGCTGGCGGGCCGGGCCCGGGCAGTGCAGGGTGCGGGGAGGCGTGGCAGCCTCGGGCACCGGGTGGGTGGCTGACTCTGCCCCGTCCGGTGCGCGCAGGTGAGCAAGTCCGCGTGCGTCCTCACCACACAGGCCATTGCGCGGCTGCTCAAGTCCAGGGAGGCGGCCGCCGCCGTGGACGTCAGGACCTGGCCCACCGTTCTGGATACAGGCACGTGTCCCCTGTGCTGGGCTTCGGGTCCTTCTGGTAGAGCCTGCGCAGAATTGAGTAGAACACTGGCACTTCTCGTGTCATGTACGGCAGTGTCTCCAAGGCTCTAGTGGGGACCGAGGATCATGTTTGGGGCCAGCGCTCCCCTATCTTACTCGGTCCCCTAGCCCTGGTGCTCTGTGTGGTACGACCCCAGCCTTTGCTACTCTGTCCTGCTGGCACCGCAGGTTGGCAGCTGTCTGCAGCCTTCTGCTGATCTCTCAGGGATGAAGTTGCCACCCCTTCCCCTGCCCCCAGTATCCCAGTACCCATCACTGGTGAATGCTGCCATGCCCCATGAAGTGCTTGTGGGCCAATGCAAGGGGCTGAAACCACCCCCCCCTGCCTTGACAATTGGGTCAGCACCGTCAAACCTGTCTCAGCCTAGGGCACCCCCACCGAGCAGCACCCCGTGCTCTGAGTGCTGGCCAATAAGCAGACCAGAGTCCTTCCCCATTGCACCCCAGGGGCATCTGTCCTTCCACTCCGCCATGCCACCTATGAGTGGGGGTCAGAAACAGTGTTG